AGGAAGACAAGACCCGGACACAGAGCCGGGCCACAGACCCCGGCCACAGAAGTGAGTGTGGCCAGCTCTTTTCTAAGATAGAACCGCAACAGTAAACTGTTTGGGGAACTAAAGGATTTCATTGCTGTGTGTCCACTCTTCTGAAACTTCCGCCTCTCCTTCCTCGAATCCTGGTTAGGTCTCTTACAGCAAACGGCGTGGACGACTGCTCAACGTCCGGGCAAGGACGGCCTCAGTGGATTGGCCCTAGGCACATTTGGATCGAGAAGTGCACCAAAAGGTGGCGTCGGCCCTCCGCTAGTCGTCGACGGAGACGACGTCACGGAGGTACAAGCTCAGATTCTGATGAGGGACGCGGCGTTTTTTGGGAATCGTGTTCAGAAGGAGTCCTTCATAATGCCACCAAACCGGAATCTTGTTCCCATGTTGGACGGGTTATTCACCAGGGGTACCAACATTCAGGGTTGGAAGACTTATAGGTACAAATTCCTTTTTCATTTCTTTTGCAACATCGTCGAACGATCCAAAGACGTAGATGCCCTTCATCATCAAGATTTTTCTAGATGAAGCAAGGAACGCAAAGATGTTCATGTCTACAGGTTTGTTTCTGCAGCGACCCTACGCCTTCAAGATTTAACAGAGTTTCCCACTCAGAAGACAAAATTGATGAAACCGTATTTTTCGAAGCTACTTCGAAAATCCAATGACCGCCACCAGACCCAGAAATCCTATGATAGGAAACCACACATCTCCGGACGCCCCGTCTCCTGCCTCTTTTTTCATGTCTTTTTTCAATTGGGTTTAATATATAATATTTATTCAGGAGCTAAACATATATAATATTCTTACGTGTTTGTTTCTGTTTCTTTGATTTATACAACTATCTTCTGCAATGCCGCCCCCCCGCCACGTCTCATCCAGGTTCCACCCCTCCAGGTGAGCTGTTTCGTGTGTTTTGGTAATGGTGACCACGGGCGTAGCCCGCTCCTCTATGCTACCCCCCTGCCCCCTCTCAGACAAGTCTTGGAGGTGCTTGGAGGTGATGGAGGGTCAGGATGGATAGATCTTTATAGACTCATATACTCATGTACTATGTCATCTGATGGTGAAACGAGGCCTTTGCTCGAGCGTGCTAGTTAAACCTGTTCTAGTCTTTGGGCTTACTGGGTATACATAATATCAATATATTACATTATATCATATTATAGTATACAGTATAGTATATTGTGTTTTATTTAGATATTAATCTACTTTGTTGTCCTACAACCTGAGTGATCCTTGTTTTCCCTGCTCTTCTCCTCTCCAAAACCGCGACGAGCGTAGCAGCACTAAGAGCGTGGCCAAAATGGTTCCAATCATGACTCCACACGTCCTCAGCTCAGCCAGACACGGCGGAGGACGTTCAACGGCCCTCTTTGGGACGCCCCTCGGCGTTCCGGCACGGTTTGCGGACGGTTTCCGTGAGAAAAGGTGGTAGGTCAAGCACCTCAAGGACATGAGAGGCAAATGAATTTCTTCTTCAAACACTCCAGCGGTCGGAGCCAGAGCTCCAGTGGTGGCCGTTTCGAATCGGCCTTCTCAAGCAAGCACCCAGTAGGATGCTCTAGTCAGCGTGGAATCCATCTCAATCATATGACAATATCATTGATCCATCATGATCCATCTGTGTTCACCTGTGATCCAAAACTGCTCCCCCAACGGAACATGTCATTTCATGTCATGTCGACCATTTGCGACTCGCCTCCAACCATGCCTTCCATCAAACCAATTGCACGTTGCGAGGCGTTTCTTGGATCCAACCGTCCCGTTGTGGGTCAGATCTCCAATCCATCCAAGAGGCACCAGGGGTTGAATCACCACCAGCCGCGCCAAAATCAGCTGAACGCCCAAGAAGCCTCAGGACACGCTGTCGGTCGTCTCCGGTCGTCTCAAGGACACCGTGTTTTCACTCACACCCAGCCGTTAAGGACCCATCAAGGTGAAAAGGCGTTAAAACCCGAGGAGTTTGACATTAACATCTCCGGGTTTAAAACTTTAGGTACTAGGTCTTCCACAGGTATTTGTTTGTATCAAAACTGCTGGTTTAATTCTTTCCTGGCTAGCCTGGCAGAACCTGGTTTGGAAGGAATTAAACACAGTGGGTTAATTCTTCCTTAAGGCAACAAAGGAAACAAACAAAGGCTAGCCTGGCAGAACCTGGTTTGGAAGGAATTAAACAGGGAGTTAATTCTTCCTTAAGGCAACAAAGGAAACAAACAAAGGCTAGCCATTCTTTTCTAGCACGTCTTCAAGCCAGATTTCTGAAAAGACACCTTCCAAAAAGAATTAAAACAGAAGTTAATCCCACACATCCCACACCATATCATAACCACATCATACAATTCACTCCCGATTTAATTCTTCTACGAAGGGACACCAGAAAATCAGCTACTAAAAAGATTTATCTCCTGATTTAATTCTTTGAACTGTTTTCACACTCTTCCAGAAATGGCGTGGTTGACGTGGATTTCGAGTGTAAATGAAAGTCGGTAGATGTCCCTAGTAAAATGGCTTGGTTGTTCCATCATAAAGGCTATGCAAAAAGAATGATGGGGGTTCCGAATCCTGTTGGTCATGGTTTGGTTTGGGCGTCACCCGGTGACTGGACTCTCAATCAAATCGGGACCGTCTCAACTTTGGGGATCCCCTTCTTTCCCCCACATCCGTTGGACAGCCATGTCTTTTTGACATAAAAATTGGTATATAGATATATCTGATATATTACTATAGTCTGTAGTCATCTAGAATCTACTTTATAATAGGGTATGCATGGCTACTGCTTTTTTCTACTCCATAATACGTCTATCAAGTGGCACAGCCCATCCAATTCAATGACGTCCATGTCATGTCTTTTTGGACAAAAATCGGGGGAGAAAAAGAGATGAAGCCGAGCAATGCAGGCGAGACGCAAAGGATAAGGCCAATGCCACACTTGACCTCATAAAACGGCTTGCATGTCCAGAATGGGATGCCGTTTTGGGTTGGTTGTCTCGAACATGGCAAGAGGCTGAGCTTTTGCACCTTTATGCAAAGACTGAATGTTTAGACTCTACGACTTTTCCAGTTGTGTACTGTATTCGACTTTTCAACAGCACAAGAAACCTCCACATCATGTGGAAAGTGCAGCAGAGTCCAGGCCTCCATTGTCTGTTTCGTGCGCCAACATGATCCAACATTCAACACCCCCAACACCTGGGGAGTCCGTGCACCCAAGTCTCTGCTCACAGCACGTGCCATGGGGCTACAAAATCCAACACCCAACCCACAAAACCCACCCATCTTCTCTTCCACCCCAGCTAGACCGCTTCTTTCCTGTTCTTTTTGCACCACTCTCGCTGTGCGCGCCGCTTTTTGCGCCACTCTCGTCACCGTGCACCACTCACATCACCGGTTCGTCCACGTCTTCGACGCACGTCCCCCTTCTTCCTCGGTGCGGAAAGCATCGAAGGGGACCAGGGCCCAGTGCAAAGGAACGACGGGTCGGTCGCTGGGTCGGTAGAGACAAGAGGTGATCAGTCGACGACACAGGTTCGCGTGGTACCTGTCATTTCGGAAAGGAAATGAGTTCCCAAGATCTACAGAAGATCTACAGAGCGATGATCATGTCACCCCAAGCCCCTACGCCCCAAAGTTTATGTTCAGAATTGTCACCTGGCAGATATGATATGGAGCAATGGTCAAGCCCTGTGCCCAATCTTGGTCGAAGAATGGAGATCAGGACACAAGCAGCCCAACACATCTTCATGAGCCCCGCAAAAATCACCAACATGTCCTTCTTCGGAAACAGCTGCTGCAGCTACGCCGTGCTACACCCCAAACCCCAAGGGACCAAACAAAAGCGCAAAAAAGAAACAAAAAACACACACCTCAGGCCCTTGAACCTCAACCTCTCAACCTGATCACTGCCTCTCCGCCTCTCCCAGCCCTGCCCCACCCGATCCCCGCCTCCCGCGCACCGCCTGCGTCGTTGGAGGCGCGGCAGCGCCCTCGCCAGGCGCTGCGGCACGGCCTCGTCCGCGGCGTCCGGCACGGGAAGAGCCGCGAGGTGCCGGCGCACGCCGCGATGCCAAGAGAAGAAGCGCTGCAAGCCTCACGACACGGCGAGAGGCTGGAGGCGGCCGGAGACGGCCGGGGCGGCCGGAGGGAGGGACACTTGAAGAGGGAAGGACACGGGTGGGGCTTTTTCTGAGGGGGTCTTTCTCTGAAGAGGCTATTGAAACCATGGCACCTCCACAGGTGGAATCGAGAATTGGTGTATTCCCGCCGTCCTTGTGATATCCAACTTCTGAAGATTCCAGGGTTTCAAGCGGGGCCATCAGCATCTCCCAGTTCCAGCCCAGAGGTATTTTCGTCGTGGGACCTAGGCCAACTCAAAGATAGTTGACACACCAAATGTCCATCAAAGTTCGTGTGTTTTGGGGGTGCAAAAAGACTTAAAGGATGGCAGTACGTTTTTTGTTATTGATCCGTCTATGTCCATCGATTGTCGGAGTCGTCCATCTTCTTCGGATTGGGACCGACCTCTTTTTGATCCCCTGACTTCAGCACCCACGAATGGCTGTGTTCCTCGTTTTTTTAAGGAAGGCTCCCAGGGAACCCATGAAGATTCACCCAGAAAGGGAATCATCCGATCCGGCCAACTCCAACTGAACCCCCTAGTTCAAAGGACCTCACCTGACCCGCACCCCCTTCCACCCTCCAAGAACTCCTCACCACCGGCTGCATTTGTTCCAGAAACGCTTCGCATCCAGTGCCGGCGTGTTGGCCATGCCTTCGAGCGCCACAGGGTCTTGGGCGATGCGAAGCACCTCAGTTCGATCCAAGAGCACTGAGAATGCCTGGACCATCCTGGACCTGGGTGTCCTGTCTGGAGACCTTTATCGGCAGTGTAGAGTTGTCCATTGAATCCTTGGAAGCAGCTGGTGGGCGTCCTCATGGCTCAGAAATTCGGGCACCCTCCCCCCTGGAAAGGCCATGTTCATCCGTTCATCCATTGTCCACTTCCGCTGATGATGTCGGGCAGTGCACCCTCCAAACCCATACTGACGGAGAACATGACCAAATTCTGCAGGTGCCAAATGTTTTTAAGGTCTGCTTTTTGGAGCCATCTCCATACTCTCAAACAGCGTGCAGAGTTTGGACTGTGCGAGGTAACCTAGTGATCACCCTAGCTGCTTGGACAGCCATGCTTCAGCGAGTGCTTCAAGCAAGCCGGTCAGGGGTATTGACTGGTGCTTCAGCGAGTTGACAGCGTTTCGAGCCTTCACCCATGGGCGATGCCTACTTTCGGATTGTAGTTTCGTCTTCCCCATCTGCCATCCACACATCCTCCCCGTCCCCCCAAACCCCCCCGCGATGCCCAAGCGTCGTGCTCGGCGACGCGCTCCAAGTGCATCAGCGGATCGAAGAGCTGCTCGTCCGAGAAGCCCGGAGCCTGGACCACGCCCGTGGCGGATACCCCGGACGTTGACCACTGCTGCGGTTGGGTGGTGATTCGGCGCTGCGCCGGTGGGTGGTGAGGTTGGTTTCAAGTGGAAAGCATGGCGGACTGTCCGGTTTCGCAGACTGTCAAAACAACCGTAGAGGCACACCAAGACACACCGAGAACGGTAAGTGCTTTCGCAGGGCTCAGAGGGTTTGGCGGGTAGGTTTGCCATGGCTCAACCGGAGTCACCAGGCGTTCGATGCCATGCAAAGGTGCGTTTCTTCAAGTTGCCATCCGTTCTTCTTATTGCTCCGGATCTCATTCGGCTCTGATTCCAATGGTTATTGGTTTGATCTTCCTTCCGCCTGTATGTCATTTGCATAGATGAAGGACTCCGGATTGAAGATCTCCAAGACTGCCCTGTCCGCTGCGATGCGCAAGACACTCTGCTGACACGCGTCTTACCTCTGAGAGAGGGAGGGGGCACGCAAAACCCTGCACGCTTCTGCTTCTGCCCTCATAAAGTTGTTTTTAAAAAAAAGAAAGACATCCATCTGAGATCTGAGTCTTTTTTTGCCAGGACCTTCCGTTCGATCTGTCCATCAAAAGCCACGTAAAACACGCGGTGATCCATGAGCGGTGTTCCAAAAACCCACACCTTTCCCAGCTCGCAAGGTCCGGACGTGGAGACCAGAGCGCCTCCGACGGCGCCACTCCGGTGCGGCGCGTCCGTACGCGTACCGCGTACCGCCTGGAGCCCCAGTAGATCGGAATGCAGCCGGCCAGGAAGGCGTTGACGATCTTCTCGGTGACATAGCCTCCCATCTCTCGACGGGGCGCACCGAGCGACTCGGTCGGTATTGGACACCGGTTCCGAGTGACGGGTCGAAGGCGACGGCGAGTGGTGGTTTGGGTCGCCCAGTCGCAGAGAACGAGGGCCATCATGGGGATACTAAGACAGGTGGTGGAGCAGAGATTCCAGTTTGAGAATCCTGGTCTAGTGAGCTTCAAGCTCACATCACTCCAGTTTGAGTTTTACACCCTCAGTTTGAGGTCCAATCAGCAGTGCCACCCTCCAAGACAGAATGAAATGGGCTCAATGTCCCCAAGTTCATTCTACGGTCAAAAAAGCATCAAAGGTCGCAGAAAAAAATGTAAGTCATGAGGCCATGAGGAAGGTATGTGGCAATGTGAGCGAAACGAAGACCTGCGGCCTTCGTTTTGCAATGGCCAGAACATGGGACCTGGACTCTCCCTTCCCCGGAAGGCCTTTGGTTCACCCCTGCCCGCCTGGCACCAACTTGTTCTCGAAGACCAACGCAAACCTGTACGGCCTGCAGCTCGCTCGAAGAGCAGTTCGTCCATTCGGGGGAACTGGGCCCTATGATGGCACCCAGGGACCTTCATTGGTTGACCCGAGTTCGTCATGGTTGAACCAATTTCCCATGAAAAACAACGGGTTTCACCTACAAAAACCATGTGCTTTTTGCTAGGGAACACCAGGTGTTTGGAATGTTTGCATGGGCCCAGGGGGGGGGCCTGGTAAGGAATGTCAACCTCCCATGGGTTTGGTGGGGGAGGTGCCACGACGAAACCAGCCAAATGTCAACTCAGGTATGGTATGGTCTGGTATGGTCTGCTTCTCTTCGTGCAGCTTGCTGGATACTTGCCTTCTGAGGGGGGGGCAGCTTGGATGTTGTTGGGTGACTCCCAATAGCCATGAGCAGGAGACTCCCCTTCTCTTGCCTAGCCTGCCAAGACAATCTTTAAAGCTGGTTGACCTGGTTTTGTGGTGTAAAATCCTTAGTCAAACAGCTTGGTTGTTTGGGATTCAGGACCGACCATCTCGTCTCTTGACCCTGGTGAGTGCTGCTGGACCGACCATCAGCAGGTCTCCAAAACCGGACACGGTACATGCCCGGACATGGTCGGACCCAAGCAGCAAAGTCAACTTGTTTTTTTTTAAAGTGTGGCTTCGCGGGAGATTCCTCTGTTGGGGCCACAATGGGCCATTTCAGGGAGATTTGGTGACCTGATCATTTAAGAATGGTCTGAATCCCAAAGAAAAGAGCTGTTTGACTAAGGATTTGAGACTCCAAAACCAGGTCAACCCTTCTTGGTCTTCCGATACCGGGTATGGCTCAAAAGCTGCAGCTCGTTCGTCCCGGATCGAAATGGAACCCAAATCGAAGTGTCGTGCACGACAGCTGCATGAGCAACGCACCGGTCGTGATGTTTTAATCGATTTTGGTGGAAGGAAAACGACCCAAAACCTTCTGTGAACCCAAAAAAGAGCACTACGCTGACCAGCGTTTAGGATTGGTTTGGAAAACATAAGTCATGCGTTGTATAATTCACATCGTTTAACCCATACAAAATGGAAACGCGCGGCCTCAGCAACTCGACTGCCTCATCCAAGAAGGATAGGGCCACGCCACGTGTGTGGTTGCGTCGTTGACGCCTCTGGGCCACACACCACGTGACAAGATCGGATCATCAAGAGATGCAAGCGTGAACAGCTTTGAATGTTGCCGCATGTTGCCCCCCAGGTCTATACTTGCATAAAGGTCAAGGGAGGATTTTTGTTGCTGGGTTCGCGGGTTTTGAGAGGCCAAGGCTCTGATGTGTAGAATGACCACCGTTGTAAGTAGAATGATATACCGACCAATTCAACAGATGTGTGAAAAATGCCCCAAGAAGCATGCGCTCCAGCTCGGCTCCCCCCCTATACCCCACACCCACACCCTCTCAGCCTGTGCTGTGAGCGAAACCCCGCGCAGCGCGAGAGCGCCACGGGAGCGTCCAGGTCGGTTCCAGCGGCTGCGCGCTGCACCAAGAGGTCGAAGAGCAAGTCTCGGTGATCCACACAAGCCTCAGAACATCCGCCCTCGAATAAACACGAATCAACACGAATAAACAAGAGGGGTGGACCATGGTCCTTGGTATCATTGATAGTGGTGCCCATGTGGTCCAAATGAATACCAGTAGAAACTGTTTCCAAAACATTCAGAAACACATGGCAGTGGCGACCAATCCACACGCGCCGTTCGCGAGGAGCCTACCCTCGTCCACCGGCAGCCGAACCGGAGCCGAGCGTCGTGGCAGCGCCACGGAGCGGCGGTGGTTAATGGACACCCCGAATCACCTCTAAGGAGCTATCAATGGAAACCCTTAGGGTGTCCTGGTATATGACTCTACCAGGACCCTCCGTTCGGTTCGGCTGGACTTGGAGACCCGACCACAGGTGAACCTGGGCACCGGACTTGGAAACACAGCAACACCTGTTGGGCGGCGCTGGTATGCTTTGCTTATTGCGTGGTATCTCGACCTCCACCTGCAAGATATCTACACCGTTCACACTTTGTTGCCCACGCTTGGAGTTTGGGGCAGATGTGAACGTGTTTTGGAGTCCAAGCAACATAGGCCATGTAGGCCAAAAAGTGTTTCTTCGCATGTCCAGCGCCGGCTTTCAACAAATCCAAGGGAGAGTGGCTTCTGGCAGCAAAGGAGCTGGATGCATAAGGAATGTGCCTGGGCTGAGAAACTTGTACGATCAGAAGTCAACGCCGTGCGAACGCCGTCTCCAGTGGACTTGCTTGGTCTTCTTTGGACTTGCTTGGGAGAAGGGACAATCCTAAAGGTGTCCCTGGAAGAAGAAACAATTGGAGTGACCGCACTGCTACACCAACAGGTTTTAAATATTTAAAAAAGCAAAACACTAACCCTTAGAACTTGACTTATATAATCGATATATAAATTATAGTACCCCAAGAATCCGGCCCTCAAACAGATAGGGTTTGGGAACCGGCCCCATTTTCCCCCAAACCGTGCAACGGTGGGGTGGAGAAGGTCCGGACCCCGGATCCATGGACAGCACGAGCTCGGATTCTTAGGGTAAAGAAAACACTATAACACACTTAGAACTAACACTTAGAACTTGACTTCTCTTCTTTCGATATATAATACTGTAATTAATAATTCACCCTAGAAGTCCAAAGACTATATTTTGCCCCACTGAAGTAAAGCATATTCCTTTTCGGGTCACCTAGTCAGACCATTCTTTTGATAGTCTTTGACTCCCAGGGTATTTATATAGTAAAGAAAACACTGCCTGACCATCGCGGGGATTTCCCGAGGTCGATAGCTTTGGGCTTCTGCCAGGTCCAAGGCGCAGCACCGTCAAGGTACTTGGAGCTGGCCAGGTGGCCTCCTGGTCGAAGACCTGCGCGCGGGGTGGCGCGCGGGCGCGGGCGCTTGGGAGTCTGGGGGAGTCTGGACCAGGCCAGGGACCAGGCCAGAAGCTTGGGGCGCCAAGCTAAGGGGGTTTGGAAATATGCGCTTGGCATGAGCAATACATTGGGGGGGGGTGCAAACCTTTTCAGAGTCTAGTCTGAAGTCACTTGCTTGTACATCAAGGAAGAGAAGTGCTGTCCTCTTTGGTCGCCCATCAGACCCCAAACGAACCAAAAAATGCCCAAATTCCGCCTAGGAAGAATGGTCCTATGTTCTCGGCTCTGGAGCTGCCCACCCGCTGTGTTCCAACAGCTCTGTCACCGTAACCGCCGCCACCGGCCTTCGCGCACACGCGGCGGCTCTGCTGGGGTGGTGTCCCCCAGCGCGAGAGACAGCGGGTGGCCGCCTGAGGGGCCAAGACACCCAGGTAGACCACGCGGTACTTGGCCAAGACCTCCCAGCGGGGGGTGGGTTCTGCGCCAGGTACAGGACTGGAGTGGTTTGAAGGGATGGCAAAGGGACCTTTGCAGCGTGGAAAATTGGTGGAAAAGGTCCTTGGCATGATGGCTCTTCCATTCAACCTTTTTGGCTTTGTTGCTGGGGGGGCCTTCATCCAACCCTTTGCCTTCGTTGAGAAGTATATTCTATCTTACTGCTGGGTCTTCGTATTCATTCCGCTACATTCATCTTGTGCCAGCCTGATTTCTAAGGGCTAACCATGCCGAATCCTCTCCACAACGCCCAGGATCAAAGCATTTTCCCAGACGCTCCACCCTCGGCATCGGACCCGATGCCTTTCTGGAGGGGTCCTGTTTCTCACCTCTCACCTCGCTTTTGAGGGACCGGGAAAAAGCAGTGTGGAGCAGTGTGGAGCGCCGCTCCTCACCCGCAGTATCCCCTGGGCCCGATCGACGTCCAGTGCACTCTACGTCACCTAACTACCAGGGGCCAGAACCAAACCATGAAAAACAAAGGTTTTCACATACAAAAAAACACGTTTTTTGCTAGGGAAAGCCAGGTGTTTCGATGGGCCATGTGGGGCGTCACCTAACTGGGTTCTTCGATCTCGACCCACCCGGCACCTCCAAGCGCCCCCCCGAACACGACGGGCAGAAAACGTGGAGAAACCGACAGGCGGGGCCTCTGCCAAGCGCCCAGCATCGCGCCCGGGGCCAATGCCCGCCTGGTCTCGTGCGGGTGGAGACAGCGCGAAAAGAAGGAGGGCGAGAAGCTAGAGGTCGCGTGCGGCGAGAGCTTGGAGGGTTCTTGAACCTGGATCTTCCAACTATATCCAACTATGCCTAGCCTATACCTTGGCTGTCGTTGATGGATGAAAAAGGATGAAAAGGCAGAAGTTGGTCACAGTTGGAAGATCCAGGAATGGGAGGTGTCGGGGTTTGGGATGGAGCTACACCATGGCAACCCCCAGCTATGGATAGTTTCGTGGGGTTGACAAGATTCAACCCGACTACCATGGTCGAAACGCTGATCCCTTTTCGGGATCCTGTGCATGTCATCGTGTGCCTTTCGAATCTTTGGATTGAGTCTTCCTCGAAGAGGAACCGAAAAGAAAAAGCCAATTCATCCAGTACCCAAAGGAAACCATGTCCACAGTCCACAGCATGCGAAATTCGGGCTTCTCATGGCCTCAAAAAACCCGGCTTCGTCGGTCCACCCGGTGCGTCCTTCCACCTCCACGCCGCTTCGGCGCCACCCGCGCCGCCCGCGCCGATGGTCTCGCGCCGGCCTCGTGGTCCACGTAGACGATCGCACCCAAGAACGGGACGCTGGGCAGCGAATCGCGGGCCACCATGACGTCGGGGCAACTGAGTCCTTCGAAGACCCCACGGACGGCACGGCACGGCACGGGTCGAAGAGGGCGCACGGCAAGGTTGGTGACAGGGTCAGAAGTCATAGGCTGTAGGCTCCAACAAACATGTTTGCCTCTCTGCCAGAAAGGGTTGTGAACTCAGCCTCTTATCTCCACCAGGAGGCCTCTCTACCTGGATCTTCGAAACCGGCACAGCGCGACTCAGCGCGACCAAGAAAAACAACATGCCGTTGCGCTGTCTTTTCCCGAAGACGACGTTTTTTGTTGTGACCAGGCGGTTTCACCGGCAGAACCAAAATGAAACGGCGTCTTTGGGCGTCCAAACGGCGTCTTTCCGCGTCCATGGATTTGGAGCACATCTTTGCAACCCCTAAAATTCCGGCAAGTGTTCTTGATTACGGCGTCTTTTCACTGAACAAAGTGCGCCAATCGCCCAAAGAAGAAGTGCGCCGCTTCATAAATCCAGGTACAGCTCTATATAGGATCCCAAAAGAAAAAGGACATGTAGTATAGTAGTATAGTATGGCCCTACTCTTAGGGCCGTCGCGAGTGAAATCAGGCACGACCCACCCACCGCTGACAAATCGTGCAAGGAATCGACCAGCTCGGCTGCCCGGTGCATGAAAGTCATTCTGGGCATACGTTCTTTTTTGGAGTCTATAGAAGACTCTAAGGCCGGCGTGTCTTCATTATTGCCTTCTTCCATTTGAGAGTAGTCAGAACTGATGGAATATATATATATATACATACTCCCTCTCCACAAATGATGTCCTTCTGAGACCAACACCTTTCTGAAGCATGCAGCTCCTGGGATAAACTGTTGCCTCTGCAAAACCCCGCACCTGCAGGTGGACATCGGTTTTCTTACCAAACCAAACAGGTTTAATACAGAAAGCCCAGCAAAACGTGTCCTTCGTGTACTTTGAAGCGCTCCGAATCCGCCCAGAGGTGGCTCGTGAACGCTGGCAGGCCGTATCCATGGAACTGGTCCTCTGCCAGTTGGAGGACTGAACAAAATCGGAACGCGAAACTTGTTGGGCTATAATGTGTTCTCCAACCTGGTGTTACACGAATCAAACTCTTCAGGAAAAGAAAACCTCTTGGATTCTCTGGAAAGAAATCGTTTAAATTTCCAGACGCGACCCTGGACCCGAATGCTCTGGAGGGGTCTGGGGTTTCTCACCAATCCCCATGTTTGGTTCGGGACCGGATCCAAAACGGTTCAAAAAAGAACACCACATTCTCTCATCCGACACCGAGCGTCTTCGAAGGGATCCACCGAAACCAGCACCTGGTCGTCCCTCCTGCCGGCAATCCACAAGCGCCACATCGAAATGGGCGAACGAACCGGTCGCAGGTCGTGGGAATTTCCACACCTCCCCGCAGGTCAAGGAGCTCAGTTTATAGGTGTTGGTCATGTAAAAAAGAATCGATGAGCCCTATGGATCCACATACCTTCTCAGAAGGAGTCTCCAATCACCTTCTCAGAAGGTATGTGGATCCATAGGGGAGGTAGTTTGGACCAGGTTTGTATCCGGGATCGTTGGACTGATAGGGCCTCGTGTTCCAACCCAATGCGATCCCAGACATGGGTGTGTAGCTGAAATAAACACGGAGACCGACACCGAACAACGTTCCGACCCCCTGGGTTCGGTTCGGGAAATAGACCAGTCTACCCAGCCAGGGCCGAAGGGTCCCTAAAAGGCACACCCACATGAAGGACATGAAGTTGAGTCAAGACCCATCAAGAAATCCGTCAAACCGCAGAAGTATCCTACGAACCCGAACCCGATAAACCCTATGTGACAATGTGTTGCTTCGGGCCCACGTTTCTTAGACCTAAGGCTCCAAGTGACTTTTAAAAAGGTCTTTTAGAGTTTCCAAATACCTTCTGAGGAGGTACTTGGAGCCCCAGGGTGGTAGGGGTAGAACCCACCAAGGGGCTCATATCCAGAAAAGCATGGCCCCAGTTTGGACGACGACGAGTCACACTTCCAGTGTCACCTTTGGGAGACCGACGACCCCGACCTGCCGGTGGATCCGGCGCGCCCACGGCAGGCGGATCTGAAGGAAACAAAAGGTTCGAAGGTTCGAACGTGTGAAGCACCTGGAAGGCGCCCAGTGGCACGGACATCAATAGTTTGGCAGTCCAGTCGACTAGTTCAAAGATGTTCGGACGAATTGCCCGAACTTAGGAATTTCCTGAGTGACGGTGCCAAACATAGTCGAACTGGACTTCTAGGGACGATGTATCCCTAAAAATTATGTGACGAGTTCCACGGCCTCCCTTTTTGGGGTTGAATCTCTCTACTTGAGGAGATGGTCCAGTCCAGGTATATATATATATCTCTCTCTCTCGGAGGGCAACCTTTGGATGCGCAAAAGCCTGCAAGAGCTGTGGCGGCCTTTACGCTGTCCACCTGGATTGGCGCGCGCACTTGGTAGTTTTTTTCTTAGATGTCCTCTAAAATTTCCAGGGCTTTGACAACAAAATCAGCGGTTTCCCCTAACTACATGGTAGCCAAGTCGCGGAGATGTTCCTTACAGTACAGTGGTTTTTGAGTAGATGGCACTATCCCCAAACAGTGGCTTAAGTGGACCACCGTACAATCTTTTGGTATTTGAAAATTTGGTGGGTAGAAAATATTGGCAGGAAAGGTCCCCCACTCCCATCCCCCACCCAGCCACGAGCTGCGGCACCACTTCAGCTGTTGCCTCCACCGCTGGCACCTCAGATATCCTACTTAGCTGCTCAAAGTTGTGAATTCCCGACAAGTAGCAACTAAGTAGATCTCAGATCTTAAGTAAACCATGAGTACTACTTCAATAGCTTAAAATGTTGAAAGTAACATTGAGTAGGTTCACTCCAAGGGTCCAAGACTGCCCTTGGTCGCGGACTGCCTCACAGGAAAGCTTGCTAAAGTAGAGCTTTGCTTGCGCAAAAAGATTCGGCGTATGCGTTATTGTAGAAACCTTGACACTCTTCAGGGCAACGCCCAAGAAATATTCTAGCTTGTTTGACCAAACCACCTTGCAAAGTCGATCTGTTATTAACCTATAGGTAAAACAGCAGTTTACCTAAGAGTCAGGACACCAATAGCAAGATTGCAAGGAACTAGACAAACCTGGCGCATGTGCTTCAGCAAAGACTTTGTCGCCGGCTGAGCTCAGGAGGCACCGCCAGAAGCTTGACCTGAAAAAGCACCGCATCATCGTTCTCCACAAGTGACTGCCGATGTGCGCGCACAAAGAAGGTGAAATCAAAAGCTTAAAAGCTTCGCCAAAGTCCTCAGGTGGCAGTTTTGTCATGACCCATGGCCCGTGGCCCATGACAACTAAACTTGAGGCTTCGGCTGGCAGAAGATTCGCCAAAGAGATCTTCAGCTGGTTATTGTTCTGGGAAGATTCTTCAGCTGCTGATGCTGTTGCCAGCGAACTCCGTGCCATAGTTTGAAGGATTTCACTAATCTCCTCCATTTCCACTGCACACTATTGTCTTCCTGACACAACGTACGGGGTACAGAGTGTCGCTCACAACAGTTTATCACCAGTCCAGCTGTTTGGGCTCCAAAGGCCCCGAATCTATGGCTCGAAATCGCACCCGGGATCCCAGTGACCGAGGAGCTTTTCTTTCTGGAGGTTCAAAGCGGGTTACCCTTATTCTAGCTCCACTACCATGCGAACTTTTCTCTTGAACAGAAAGGAAAGGGCTCAAGTCAAGTCACGCTGCACAAAAGAGATGTTAATGATGCTGTACAGCTATGTACTAGTCTACCCTGAAAATGCTTCACAAAAACGCAAAATACGGAAATAAGCGCGTCCAATCTTCGAGAGATTGGCATTGCGACTCACATCCAAATAGGTGGGAAACGTTGGCGCGCCATCCAGGGCAGTAATGCGGTTCATTGAGAGGGCAGTAATCCAGGGTGTTGACTACCCAGTATAAGCGATGTTTGCTACCACCACTTGCGTTGACAGCAAGATGAACTCCTTTGATGCGACCAAAGAGCCCGCATTTAGATGCCCTGACGTGCGCCAGGATTGCACAGGGATGGATAAAATCCCAAACGTCCATATTCAGGCTGCTCCCCAGAAACATCTCATGGCGCAAACCGAACTCTGGGGCAGTCATGTCGAATGTCACATTTGTCTCCTGTAGGAAAAGTTCTTGCAATTTTTTTTGCTAACCCCACGATCTCCCATCCACTCATTTCTGATGGTCCCTTGGATCTGGCAATGCTCTAAATTCAAGAACTCAATATTGTGGTGAGAGATCAATGATATTCCCTGTCACATTTGTTTTTTCATGAACCTAGCACTAATGGTGGGGACCAGGGTCCCCCAGCTGTATATTTTTTGAATATTCATGGGGGTCCCTCAGTTGTTGAAAACTATAATTTTATTAAGAACTCAATGAGTTCAAACATGAACCCACTGAGGTCCAGCCAACGCAATGAGCTGCCATATAGTTATTTAAAAAAACAACCAAGAACATACAGTTTAATTTTCAGAAACTAAATGATTGGTAGTGAGAAGAGACAAATTGCTATCTACTTTGATTCAATTTTCAATATAAATTGTCCTTTGGTGGGGGTTCTGAATTACCTTTGGTTCAAGTAATTGGCTGAATTCCTCGAAAACGGTGAACAACCGCCACGACGTACTACATGTCATGCGACACACCAAAAAAAGTAAATCAGTTAATTTCCTCTTGCGCCATGATAGGTTTAATTTTCCAGCTTCGCATAATTAAATGGTGAAAATGTACCTAATTCAATTTGCACACCACAAGGAGTATGTTTCTTCAAGCAGCAAACGTTCCAAAGGTGAGTGTTCTGCTAAACCCACGCTGGATAGATTTCCAGTCACTGCTTTGGCTTTGGCATCTCGCAAATCCAGGAACTTCAGCTCGTCCCAATTGAGGTCTTCCAACTGGCCACGAACCTTCTCCCCGGACAACTTCGAAGCTTCCAAGCGGTACTTCTGAAAATCCACGAGATCTGCTTCCACATTGCACCATCTCACAAAGCCCTCTATGCCTCCCCAGCAAAGTCACTTGGTCGCAGTAATCTCGTCGATCAGCACACGTCGCGCCTTGATGGAAAAGATCTTGATGGCGAAGACCCACTCAGCGCCGCCACCCCGCGCACATCTTTGTTTGGCGCCACTCAGGGCACATGGGGATGGCAAGAGAGATGTTGAGCAACACGCTCACGTTAACATATGCGATATAATTGCGCAGAAGTTCTCAACGCGTGAAAGCAGGAATGCTCAATATGGCAAACATGTGGAGGCCCTTGGGTCAAGCTCTCAGGGACAGAACACTACAGCCTCGCCAACAAACAAGTGTGTGTGTGTGAGAGAGCATGAACAGCAACAGCAGAGTCAACAGCACGCAGCAAAAACAACAAGTCATCTTGGCAACAATCCACAACAAACAACACAACAAGGAGAGGCGTAAGCCTTGATCTCAGCACCAAGCCTGGGGGGAGCTGAAGACCACAAGCCGAGCAAGAATACTACAACCAGAAGTATAGGACAGGAAGCAGGCAACATGAATGGACCTGCAGCATCAGCATCACCACATCACATTGGAAAACCCGCCAATATAGGAGACGCACTGGAGACCCTTGCAACAGTACATAGGCTCAAACTCAAGCCACCCATGTACACTGGGGACTGCACGACATTCGAAGAATGGAAACACAAAGTCAAGGCCGACATGGGTCTTTCTGACCCAGTGTACCAACAACTACTTACAAGAGCGGAACAAAACAGCAACTCTCCTCGAACAACATGACCTCGCTAACGCAACTTCAAACAGCAGAACATGAACGATGGATCCAAGTGGACAGCAATTTTTGGCTCCTACGCATCCAAGCTTTATGGTGGTCACTTCCAACTCCACTCAAGCCCATGTCATACGCTGAACTGAACAGCCTGAACATGTCATGAAGTGAACCTTCATCTTAACCACTTGGGAGGTTTGCGTCCCCCCTTCACAGCTAGCGCCAAACCAGCTCCTGCAGCCTACGCTGGAAAACATGTGGCCTCCACTCCTAGTTCAGCCCTGCAACTCATAGCTGCAAGATGTCCTTCCTGATTAGTCAGCGAGGTCTTCTCAAACACTCCTGGGAGCAATAACCGCTTCGACCCATCCTTCTTCGCTTTCTTGCTCCGGCGGGTCTTTATCATTTCACCATTCTCATCTGTGAGTCCGGCAACTCATCTGCACTCTCCACAAGCTTTTTAATGCCTGCTGCTTGAAGCTTTGCAACCGCTGCTTTCAACAAGGCTTGCATGGCATGGAAGAGGGCTGACGAGATCAGCTTACACACACTCGGGATAATGCGTACTGTACTGAGTGCGGCTTGCCACCCGCCAGCCTAAGTAGAAAACCTACAGCACCAGGACAACGGGTAAGTAAGGTGGTCTGAACATCCTCAAAACCTCAAGGTCAGGCTGTTTGAACGTCTTCAAAGCCTCCAAAAGCGACAAGTTGCATGTGCAAGTCGTTGAAGCTCATTAAATTAGCACTTTAATTTTAATTCCAAACCGAAGCCAAGAGCGAGATCTTGTTCTAGTTACAAGCATGTGCCAGTAGGAAATGGAAGTCATCGCTAAAGCAGGCACGTGATCCCCTGCAAGTTGAAAAAATATATAAAACCTGAAAAAATATCCTTCTATCCTTCTCTAGACTCTAGAGCCATTCTCAACCCCATCTTTCTCCCAACGGTCCCTCCTGCCCGATGTATCCTCCTCTCCCGGCATTGTCAACTAACTCTTTGATCTTGGATTCTTGGCTCAAACCACCTCAATATTCTATTGAAACCAACAAATACAAACGTTAAACGCACCACAGAAAGTATAGGGGTGCCAGTGCCATCTACTCTGAAACCACTGTATCTTGTTCGAATCGGCTTAGATCCTCCAAGGTCAATGAATGAGCAAAACGACTTCAACGATGTCTGAGCGGACCAGGCAGGCCTTGCCAAAAAGAAGCGACCCCCACTTCACCCACAACTGGTTACATGCTTGTTTTGTCCAAGAATGGAAAAAGAGAGACGACAACAGTCCGGCGACGTCCCAAAATTGGTCGTTCACCATGTCCAGTATCATACATGCATTGAAACAACAAAAACATCTTTGCACAGGTACATTTACACTCCCTGAAAGAATCCTGGAAGTGGAAAACAACCTGTTTGTAGAGTCTTTCCAGGCGAAAGTGTGTCACTTCCATGATTATTTCCAGTAGGACACACTCCTACCCTCCATTAGGGCGGTCGCAGGACCTCAACGCACGCGTCCAAACGCACACCCCGTCAGACTCCCTCCTGCTCTCGTGGCTGAGGGAGGTGTTGAAGGCTTCGGAGATCCGCTGCAACAGGTGCAAGGACTCAGCAGCCCACATGCCACTCGAAACCAGGTTCGCGAGGTTCTCGACCTCCGCCAGGTTCACGACGAACAGCGACCGAAGCCCAGAAAGCGAACCAAAATGCATCCTGAAGAAAGCGGCGGTCCTTCGCGTGGATGTTTGGGCCCAGAGAGAATCACTGCTACAGATCCTGAATTCTGGATTCTCGAAATCTTCGGGAACAAAAGCAAACCTGAACGAAGGGAGAAGCCACGCAGCAACGCAAGTCCACTGCAAGTGACAGAAGCACAAAGGGGCAAGAGTAACTCAGAAGCGCCTCTCACGGATGATCAACATGTTTCCCGACGATTCCAAGGGGCTGACGATGAGTGTTGAACTCCTGGAATCACTGCGGCTGCAGGACGAAGGAAGACCTCCTGTGTTGTCATTGGATGCCGGACGTTGCCAAGAGTCAAAAGATTGTGCTTCTCTTCTGGCTGCGAAGCGTCTAGACCCTGTTAGACTTGTAGACAGGTTTCACAGAATGCAGCACATCAGAGAGACTAGAACATCACCATGTTCCAGACCAGATGTGATAGACAAAGACGATGTTTATCTCTGTGGGATTCATCTAACATCCCAAGGATCGCCCAGAGCAAAAACCACTGGATCGCCCAGGCGTCTGACTCAACCTCTGCATACGCCCACGCCCACGCCCCCCTGAAGTCGGACAGTCGTCCTCATAGTCCTCCAGCAACTTCTCCAGGAGCTGCTTCAGCCCAGGCTCCCGCCGGGCGCTACAGGAGATCGAAGCACCGTAACCCATCAACGGAAGCCCCGCACCCAGCAGGCAGGCCTCGGTGGGACCGGGCCAGCCCAAGGACCCAGGCCAGGGGTGGTTGACTGGGGGTCCATGCAGGCATATGGCATACATGGACTGTATGGGTCATGGTTTTGTGGGAGTTGACCAAATCCACCTGTTTTGCTCTTCGCAACTCCTGGTCCTCCTCTTCGCACTTCATGTCATCCACTTCGGATATATGAGGGTGCTTCAGATGTGAAGGTGTTTACGGTCGACCCGTCAGATGACTTCACGCAGTCCTCAAAGCTTGGTAATCCATATTGGAAAAAAAAGAGTCCTCATATTACTATAGTGAGACTCCCCAGAGGCCCCTGACCCAGTGGTTGAATTTTTAGTAGTTCCGGGCTTTTTTGTGTGCCAAACACCGTGGAATCGTCACAGTTGCCAGTCCAAAGAAACCCGCTTCACTGACCGGGGTAGGGTCCCCATGTGATGCCATGTGACTCTTCTCGTGGCGACTTAGTAGACAGGCGCTTTGCGTTGCTGAGCATTTAGTCCCCTTTGATTCATGTGGAGCACAAAGATGTGGCCTCCAAAACCACGCAGCCCTGCGTTCTTGGAACGATGTTCCTCCATGCATAGCTTGGGGTACAAACAGACTCTCTTGGGCTTCCATTTGCGACCCATTTTGCCTTTTCGAGTGTTTGAGATGATTTTGCAGTTGTCATAAGCTGGTGCGACCTTGGCCACCCCGAGCATTTTCCCCACATACCTTAGGTGGTGACGAATCAGGAATGTCTGCAGGACTGCCTTCCTCATGCGAAGCCGGGGGAAGTCAGTGGGTCCCGATCAAGTTGCAAAGCTGCAAAACCCATTGGTTGGGGGTTCCCCTATTTAAAGACACACCCATGTGTAGATCTTGTCAATAGATTATCGAGCGGTGAAGCATGGCATTTTAAGCTTCGCGGACCATTGTGCGGTTTCTTCACGAGTTGAAAGCTAAGCTTAGCCGCAGCACTCTGTTCATGCGTCCCATTGTGCGGTTGCTCTGCAAGCGCTGCAGGAGCTCGTCCGCTGTATTTTCCACGTCAGTACTGAAAGGGACCTCCTTTCCATACAGCATCACCTCCTGTTCAGGGGACCGATCGACAAAGAAGAAACTGCTACAGTGCTACAGCAAGCAAACATAAGCAGGTCATCTTCCGGAACATAGGAATACATAGGACCCGTCACAACAAACAACCACGACAGATCCGCGTGATTTTACCTCTTCCATGCGTGTCAAGCTCTCGGGCTCCTCATATCGGATGCGGAAAGACTCAATGGGCTGGTCACAGACCACGCCTTTGCCAGCGCCATCGCGGCTGAGTTTGTAGGCAATGAGGCCGAGTAATCCAAAGATCGGCCAGCCACTCTGCAACACCTGGAGGTCTCCACGCAGTGCGAGGTCTCCAGTGTGACGGTGCAAGATCTTCTGGAGATTGGTGCGAAAAAAGTCCATCTTGGACACACAGATTGGCAAAGTCCCCTAACATGATGTTCGCGTGAACTGCAAACCCCTCAGTGTGTGGGCGCGTGTCATGCACCTATCTGTATTGGTTGGATGTGGTTCGAGGCAAACAATGCCCAAGTTCATGGCAAATCTCTCTTGACCGAAAACACCCTGTCGGTCCACCCTTACCGTGTGCTTCTGAATGATTTGGGGGCACCTCAAAGTAGTGGGTGTGGTGGTTACAGTGGGAGGGGAGGATCTTCTACTTTGCTTTCTGCCACACTCTTTGTATGTCTCCCGCACTTCTAAGATTCCAAGACACAGAAAGGCTGCAGGGACCAGGGGTTGCGGAGTTTGGGTAACCAATCACTCCCAAAATGCAAGGAAGTCTCGTATATCGTATATCAACTTCTCAAACCACCACCACATTCTATATAACCCTCTTCCAAACAGACTCTGCCTTTGTGTCCGGACATGAGGAAGAACCGAAGAAGACGACGCCTCCGACTCTCAGCCCAGGTCTACACTCCCGACATGGAAAGCGGAGGGCAAAAGGTCCAAAAGGAAGATGACTTTCCGAGTGCCAAACAGGGGGTGGCATCCACTTCCGAGTGAGTAGGCCTGCAATATCCCTTGAAAGTCTTGAAAGTCGTTTTTTGTTGCGTCTGCAACATGTCTGCTTCTTTCGTCACCTCCACGGTCGAGGCCCAATGCCACGGCAGCTCCTCCTCCTGCAACTGCTGCCAGCGCTCCGCAGGATGGCTAAAGATCAGCACCGCCAAGCGCAGACTGTAGTGCCTCATCAGCGGCTTTCGGAGGCACCGATCAACGACGCCAGGAGTGTTGCGGTATCGAAGGCTCAGCGGAAGCGAGGAGACCCCAAAATCGCAAGGACCCAAATGATGGAGCCTGGACCCGAAGGGTCAGGCGGGGGGGCTTGGGGATTTCTCACCAATCGCGATCGGAAGTGGGGCTATTCTTTTTGAGTGTCTGTCTCTGGCTTTCCAAACACATGTTTGCATTCTTCTGTGTGGAGGGACTTGAGGAACTTGATTTTCAGTCTGCTTGGGGGTTCACTCGATGCGTTTGATGGGTGGATTGGATTTTTTTGATAAGCATCAACAGCAAAGAAAACGCTAAGGGCCAGCCCCAATCATATGTGCCCATCCGATCCATCCTTTAAAGCCCGTCATGATTCATTGATTAAGTGCTTGTCCATAGGTCATTCGAAGTAGACTATGCAGGTGATTGATATGGGCTCAAAATCGGATGTGCCCAGCGCCCCAAATTTCTGGGTCAAAGGGAAGATAGATGAAACCCTGCAGGTTTCCTCCAAATCCCATTTTTGGAGGGCGAGCAGCCATTTTATCCCATCGGACCCCAATAGTAGGTGTTTTCCAAATCCTTCGTGCAGCCCAGTCACCCCAGCACACAGCCCAGGCTTGGTCCAAAGGCCACGGACAGCAGATCCTCCTGATGCTGCTGAAACGCCTCGAAGCCGACCTCCAACGTGCTGACCCCGCGCTGACCCCGCGTCGGCGACGCGAGGCGCGAGCCCGGCGTGCGGCTTCGATCGATGGACCCGGCGCGGGGGGCAATCGCCGGGGTTGGGGAGCCAAAAGAGGTGAAGCGTTTACGATACCTAAGTGGAGGTGCTACGAGCAGGATGTGCTTTGGGTCCTCCTTTAGAAAGCACTTCTGTGACCAGGATCACCAAGGATACTGTATGACGAACGAGACACACTTCCCAACCTCGCCTTGTGGTCTACTAAGATCTTCACCAGGAGCTCCTGACGCAAACATCCAAGAGATGGGCTTAGCTGGCTTAGCTATGCCCCAAGTGAAAAAATGCTCCAAAGAAATGAAGTTTCCATTGAATCGCTGCCCCCCGCGCTTCGCCACAACACGCGAGGCCCTCGTACGGCGAGCCGCCGCTCCTTCACAAAGCTCCAAGAACCCAAAGAGCCCAGAAACTCGCCCGTTGCATCACAGGCCATGGGGACTTCGCCCACACGGCCGGACCACAATCGCCCGAGGTCTGTCGCCCCATCGCCAGGGGAACTTCTTCCGCGCGGTTGCGAGTGAAACGGAGACCAAGCGTCACCTGTAAAGTCCAAATAATCCAGCGAAAATAAAAGAAACTTTATACGTTATGGATTAGGTCACACGCTCTAGGTCAGGTTCTTTTTGCGTAGTTACAAGCTAAGGCTCCTATTCCCACTCAGATCCAAGCTGCTGTAGGTTCTTGCCAGGGATGTTCACACAGTGTTTGATGATTCTTGGGAGAGGTTTTTTTTCATCTGTTCTCTGTACAGTATATTAATCACAAAGAAAGTACATGAACCTGAAGGCGCGCCGGTGCTGGTCTGGTTCGGTTCCAACAATTTGAGGTTGGAGGACTTCAATGTGGCACAAAGACAAGGACTTCGATCAATACCACGTTGAAACCATTTTGGGGTGCCACAAGAGCATCCACCGAGGGCCCAAGCGCGGCCACCGCGGATCACGTCGTGGGCCGAAGGTGCAGATCATCGCAACCACCCGGAAGAACCGGAGCCACCAACCTCTCCACCAGCGGATCACAGGGCGGAGTTCGGTTCTGGGCGCGCGACCAAGGGGAAGTGGCGTAGCAGATCTTGGCTCAGCAGAAACCTCCGGCGGCGCTTGGATCGGCGTTCGGTGGTGAAGGAGCAAGGGGACCAAACCAAGAGCTCGCTGGCGGCGAGGTTTTTGTATTTGTTCGGTGCGCCGCCTGTTTTCGGTGCAGAAGAAGAGAAAAGGGCCAAACCACAATGGACGTTGAACAAAAGAGTGAGAATATCATCATGCAAAGAATTCTTGGACCTTGGGGGCACCAGAATCAGCCGAATCCTGAGGAGATTGCTGCTTACATGTGGTTTTGAGAGTCAATGTGAACATCTGTGAACCAACTCGCTAAATGGGTGGCAGCTACAACCACAACAAGAGAGCCATTGGAAGTTGGGTCTGGCAGTCTAGCAACTTCCGGATCAAGAACGTACCCATATATACACGCCCCTAAACCAGGGTCAAACCAATCTCTTGATTTTGAGTTGCTTGGAGCATCTGGGTACAACTTTACTCGCTTTCCCTCTTTCCAGGATGTCTTATGAAATTGTTTTCCAGCAGCCCAATGTAGAAGCCAGTGGAGTCCTATTGGGACGCCACATGACTCTCCATTGATGAAGTGGGTTTTCGTCCGAAGTGACTGATCACTGGCATATACCCCATGGTCTTGTCCACCATGCCTGGAAGAAGAACAATTTTATATAGTCATTGCACGCTCTCATGAGGTGGAGTGAGTGCTTCACAGTGGCTTCACTGAGTTGCATCCATCCTGCATTCTCCCTCCACGTGTGTCACCTCTCCCTCAGGTCACGCCACAGCTCCGGCAACGCGAAGGCTGCCATCGCCGACGAGCTGAAGGCGACAAAGGGGTTCCTCGTCTTCCCAGCAATGGACGAAGAACACCCAGTGAAGCCCAACCACCAGCTGTGTTGAACACAGTAGTAGACAGTAGAGACACCATTAAGAAAACAAAGTGGGCCCGCGAACCCAAAAGCAAAGAGAAGGTGAACAGCCGGTTGTTTTTCTCTCTTGGGCGTGGCCCGTCCAGCCTCCCGTATCGCGCCCCTCTATCTTCCATCCACAGCCCCATCCACGCCCGTCCACTCTCCCGCCCCCCGCATCGCGCCCCTCCATCTTCCATCCACAGCCCCGTCCACCCTCCGTATATCGCGCCCCACCCTCCATGCCCGTCCGCGCTCCCGTATCGCGTCCCCCCATCTTCCCTGTCCGCGCCCGTTCACCCTCCCGTATTGCTTTCTGAGCCAATAAAAATCCTTCTCTAAGCCTCGATCTAACCCGCCGTCCTGCTGGCCAAAGAATATTCAAGCCGCAGCCCTCTAGACCTTCTCGAATCTAGACCCCTTCCTGCTCCCCAAAAAATAACCTTCTCTAGGCCCGATCTAGACCCACGTCCTCCATTCTACTAGTCTGTCGCTAAATCCCAAGGCCCCCCAGCAATCTGCTCCGCCACGGCTTTGCACAAACTAATTTCACACCAACAAGAGCCACAGACCCGATCCGAAGACTCCCGGCAATCTCTCTCGCCGCAGCTTTACACAATCCAAGTCCACGCTAAAAATGATTCTCGAAGCTGCTCGAATCCTTCTCTACGCCTGATCTAGACCCACTTCCTGCTGCCCGTTGTAGTCTGCTTCTAAACACTCGACGCAGCGACGTCCAATCGTCCGGTAGTTGTGAGCGCAATCAGAACAAAGCTGCGCAGCGTATCCTCAGCCAAACATGGGTTCAAACCCACGTGCCCCGTAAGTGATGACAGCTCCAGATAGGTTGAAGTGTGCAAGTCCAATGACTCGTGGAGACTGCACCCAAAATCACCAAACTCTCTGTACAAGCCCACCGTTCGCGAGTTGTCCTTGCAGCTCCATGGAGGCGCTTAGACGCATGGAGGCGCTTAGACGAACATTTTTGAGGTGATATCACTTTGAGTAGCACACGACATGACCTATAGATACCTATGGCAAGGAAGAGCTCTGGCAATGGTGGGCGCCTGTGTGTTGGAGAATCATGTTGCCTGGCGCGGCATGACACGCTGCGGCCACGTCTGTGGTCACGTGGAACCCGCTGCTTCTAATCTGGAACGCTTTCCAACGCTGATGGCCCAACAACGGCTCAACAACCACGCTAAGCTACCAAACTGCGACCCTCACAAGGAAGCAACAAGCTTGAGTGGGTAAGGCTTCGACCGACAACTACCCCGCGACACATCTTGCCCCTCGCCCCGCCGAGCAGAGCATTGGGTCCAAACACTTGTACACCTCCACCGACAAAGGGCGCAACCTTGCGTAGCCGTCCTCCACCTCTGCGCCAGATGCCATGGAACCAGCTTCGGGGCAAAGAAGGTGTAGCTCACTACACGGTTGACAATCGCCATAGGAGTCCACACCCGTAAAGTTTGCAGCGAATGAACACAATTGGTGAGGGGCAAAGCACAAACCGAAACATCAGAATACCTAGGTGGATCTCCCCTCTGCCCACCACCCACTAAGGCAAGGGTCTGGACGGTATAACCGATGCGCACATGGAATACTTGGACACCTCATCCTGCACGCCGCACATTGCGCACGCCTGCTAAACACACGACCAGATGTTGTGTCTTCAACAAAAGCCGAACTGCAGGGTGCAGTAATCACGTCCGAAGGCGATTTTTTCACAACAGGCTGACAAGTCAAGACTCAACTGAAGAATCTTTAGAACGCATCACCTGGGACCGAACTTGGGGATAGTCAGCAAAGAACATTTATATATCAAAGCCGCCGCTGAGAAGAGAAGGTAAAATGACGTGCTCTTAGATTGCTGAAGTGGCCACACCTTTTTTGACCCTCCAAACAATTTGTGGCTTGCCAGTACCTGGCGAAATGAACGTCTGTGTCGCAGCACTATATGCGCTTTCTTGGGAGCAAATTTCCCCTTGCTAAAAGCACTGACTTTCTGCGCTCACTGAGTTCACTGGTGACAATTGGACAAAGCGTTCCTTGGGAGAGCTGTGAAAGTAAGTACATCCTCGAAGGAACTTCGGACATTCAAAGAGATTGTAGACTGTATGGACTAAACTAAACATGCTTCTAAGTGCCAAATACAGGCTTCAAGCGCGCAAGATATTAAAAGCTGCACTGCAGAAAGGCTTTCTGACAGGGTATTTTGTGATGTCCGGAGCTTGCCAGAAACAGTGTGGTCCAGCTGCTTTCACTTTGAACTTTCAAGCTGAAATTTTAAACGTAGCAGCGAGCAGCAGTGTGTCAAAAACACAAACCCACAAGAAAACAGAAGAGTACAAGAGACACAAATCTCTTTTGCTCAAGGCTCGTTGGTTTAATCTTGCATATGCAACCAATTACTTGAAACCTTCAGTTCGCCAGGGCAAGTATGCAAAGTGCACTTATCATAAACACGTTTCAAGTACTACTAGAAAGCAATCTGAACAGCCCCCCCTGCAGCTTGGTCTGCGGAGAACATAGATACAGCCTGACAAAACGCTTCTCCTCGTCCAATGTGAAGTTGGTTCCTCTGATATCAAGCATGATGGGAACCGAGAAGTAAGTGTCCTGGATTGCGACCAAATGGTTCTTCTATAAGTCAAGAACAATGTTTTCCGCAGTGCCCCTCAAACCTGTGATCTGGTTGTCTGACACGTCCAAGATTCCAATCTTCCACTTCATGGGGAAGTTCTCTGCGCTGCGCACCCCCTTCAACTCGCCACTCAAATGGACCCCGGCGCGCGTTTCCATGGCGAGGTCACGCCGCCCCATTTTGTAGCTATGAAACGCTTTTTCTCTACAGAATGTTTGTATGTGGGGTTCAGCGCTGCTACAAATGCTGGTCGTGGAAACCCCATGTGCCGGAAAAAAAAGATATGTTACTACAAAATGGAGTCCAGACCTCACCACAAGTCATGAGGGAACATGAAATTCGTTACTACATAATGGGATCCATACTTTTCTTTTTATATGCCTTGGGATCCGGAACTGTTCACATGTCAAAGTCAGCTTTCTATGCAACAAATTCTTGAAAAACATGTAGTTCATCACCACTGGAAAATTTATCATCTCCACCTGTTAAAAGACGCTTTTTGAACAACTTTTTGGTTCATCCAGGGGTGGATGGAGGCCTTTTGACTTCCCATGTCAAGTGCACTTCGACCTTTGGCATGGGCAAGGTTCCAAAAAGGAGCAGACTGAGGTTGTAAGGAGTTGTGTTATATATTTCGTAGTGAATAAGCTTCTTAGTCCTCTGTCAAAGTCAGCTTTGTAGGCCCTAGGCAAGGAGGTCTTCCAAAATCTGTTTTTAAACATGTTTCATTGGAAACAGTGTTTGGTTCATCTAAGGGCGGGAGCCTTTTGACTTCCCACTGCTTTGCTTGGGCAAGGTTTTCAACAAGGAGAAGACTGACGATGAAGCCATGTCCAGTGAGACAGGCAAGCCGTGCAGGGAACCCATCATTGTCCATGGCATTTTGTACGGAGTTGTGTTTCAACATATTTTGTAGTGAACATGTTTTTTGTTCTCTGTCAAATTCAGA